ACTGTAAAGGTGGTATTTTTTGACTTTTTCAATTTCTTCAGCAAAATTCAGCTGGCACTGCTGAGGGACAAGCTGGGAGGAGCAGGAGTTGATGTTGATGTTACTGCATGAGCAATTGACTATACATCATCAAGAGACTACAGTATGTGAGGCTTCAGAATTGTGTGTCTGAAGTGGTGCATGGGGGATCCTCAGATGATGGCGCTCTCTTCCTTCCTCTTTACACTCTTTACACTGGACCATGTATGTATAAGTCCACCTAACGTTCGATTATACAGCCATTGTTGGATTTGTATCTCAGGGTAACAATGTGGAGAACAGGATGGTCATCACTGAATGACCAAGTATAGTGTTTTGGCAGTTTACTATTTTTATTGTTTTATTGTTTTTTAAATTACCAATATATCTCTAATTGACTTTTCTCCCTGTCCCTTGTGCTGCTCCAACAAGTGAATTCCCACTGAGGGAGTAATAAAGTTTATGTCTACAGCCAGCACAGTGCCAATAAGTAACAAGAAGAACAAGAAGATTGACAATGGAGTGTCATAATTGTATTACTTCACCACTATCTAATCCAAGTCTTTAATCTCAAATTTTATTTCAGTTGTGAATTGTTTTTTGCCATGAACCAACATAAGGCCAATGGACAGGATGTGGTTCATGATGGTTTACAGTTAAGTGAGAGAAACACCTGAGTCTAGAAGTGACATCTCATTTAGTGATGACTCCTGGACACCTGGATCACCGGTCAATATGCTTGGAAATCTTTTGCCATGTCATCATCATTTCAAAGAATAAAAAGCAAGCTTCTACCTCAATCTTGTTTTTATGGATTTTAAATGTTTTGACAAATGTGAAGCTAGGGACACCAGCAACCATATTGAAATGTCTTCAGAGGTCAGTGCAGGTGACATAGAGGTAAATGTAAAACTGCTGGCTAAGGATAAACATAATTTCTGTAAAATAATAATTCACATTGGCAGCATTGATACCCAGAGGTCACTAAAATTAATTAAATCGGTGTGTAACTTTGCCAAAAACAATGTCAGACAGAGTTTTCTCTAGTCCCCTCCCCAAACTGACCAGGAGTGACATGTTTAGCCGCATATTCTCCTTAAATTGCTGTCTGAGTGGTGTCCAATAAAATGAT